GCAGAGTTGCATTCCTAACATACACTCATATTAATGTGTATAGTATAATTAGAAGACTTTAAATTTAGTCAGTTACTTCATCGAACATAACAAGTGATATTTTATTTACACTTATTTTATGATTTAATCATAAAAATATTAAATTTATTTTAATTATTTAAAACATTTTAAAACAATATTCAATGATCAATAGTAGATGATTGGTTCATTCATAACATTCATATTTACTCACATGATGTCAATTTTCAATTTTTTCTCAATAATAATCATAATCATAACAATATACATCCTCTTTTCAAATATATAAACATTATTGAACAACATAACGTAATAAAAACTACCAATATTATTTAAAATTGTTCAATGTTCACTATTATTATTATTATTAGTAGCGTAGCAGCAGTTTGAAAATAATTGAGCGCCAAATTCAAAAATGAACAGCATTTAGAAAAAAAACCCACCCATATCAATAATCATTGCATCAGACAGTTGTTTATATTTTCATGTTTAAAAATTTGATTTGATTATACAAACTATCATCATTGATTTGTTTGTATGAAGTGGAGATATTAGCCACACTAGTTGTTCACTATTTAGAATTCAATTTAATTATGAAAATTGACACCATTGGATATTGAATCACTGGTCTAAATGTTAAATATCCATATGCGAGACCGAACGTCCAGGGTTGGATTCCTGTGTGTAAGGGTTGGTCATGGATGTACATTGATGAGGAGTCCTATACTAGGATGAAACCGGTGTCCAGTGCTTCTACTTTCCTAACAGTGGTCTAGCTTAGACCAGTTCGTGATTCCATGTGTGAATATACGCCTGTTACTCCCCCTAATATAGCATAGGGCGCCGACCAGTATTCTACAACCTACTCTGTCCTGGGCTTCCATTTCCAGTTCCATCCTATTTCTGTTCATTCTTCTTATTTTTGTCTCCATTTCTCGGCGTAATGTGTTCCTTGGCCTTCCTCTTTTCCATTTGTCCTTGAGGTTTCCAAGCGAGAGCTTGTATGTGACGCAGTCGGGTGATTTATACAATGTGGTAAATAATACAATCTCCAAAAAAATTTTTTTCACCCGAGTAAGCAATATTTCCATTAGCAGACGAGTATTTGGTAAGGATGGCAGATTAATAGATGAAGTAGTGAAATTTCATCAGTTGAAGTGGTTGGGACATGTGTTATGAATGCCCAACCACCGACTACCTCGTTGAACTATGTTTTGTGGTGTAGGAGTGGGTTGGAAGAAAGCTAGGGTCGCACAAACCAAAACATGGCAGAAATCCATGAAGTCACTGACAAGTGGACTGTGTCATGTCGGTAGGTGTCGACTACCTGGCTGGGGTCCGCGAGATGATAGTCACTGATGGTTAGAGACCTTGAATGACAAGGTTCAAAATCGTGTACAATGGCGCAAGTGCATCCACTCTTTGTGTTCTCTCAAATCCTAATCTTCTGGATTCGTCAACACCTCTACCTTTGTCTTTCTAAACTTATCTCACTGAATTATACTTCTTGAATAATATCTTCGAACCCTAATCTCTCCGATTACTTCTAATACTTCTACTACATTTACAACTATGGGATTTAAAATGACAGTTGAATCTCTGTGTTAATGTGGTATGGCAAATTGAACTGATGTATGTACGTACGAAGTACTACGTTGTAATTGACTGACTGCTTTACGATTTATTAAACGTGACGTATATCTATGCATTCTTTGATCAGTTTGATTTTCCCTGAATTGTGCTCCAACTTAGAATTATTGGTCAGAGTTTTGGAGGTTCTGTGTTTTTACACATTTGAAATCAATCAATCATTGTTAGATCACCATTAGAAACCTGAAAGCACTGGACGGCCGTTTCGTCCTGGTATGGGATTCATCAGTGGCAGTGCGCATCCACGACTCCTGCACCTCGCAGGATTCGAACCCGGGACCTTCGGTATTGTGCGCAAACGCCTAACCATTGGACCACTGAGCTGGCTGGCATCCAACGGTGTTGATTGATCTACCGATTTTGCGCTACCTCACCCATTTGTCTTTGGTAGTTCAAATGTGCAAAAAAAAACACAAAACCTCCAAAAATTCAGCCCGAAAATATCTTAACAGCGCTCACTAGTGATGACTAACTTCTTAGTGAGGAAATTCTCAGAGTTCTAGTAATGAGAAGACGTCACCAATGGAGTTCAATCCTGTCGGGTGTTAGGCAGGTAACAACAATGATTGATTGATGTTAGAATTATTGAACAAATGATTGGAATTAATTTTGAATTTCATTCATTTGTGATTATTTTGAGTAACATAAATTAATATTTTCGGCGTCGAATTTTTCATCAAACTCTATTTTATTTTATTCCATTCCATTGTTGAATAATAGTATCACTCTTTTTTTTTTAAAGTTGTCTTATTCTTTTTTCTTCAACAACGTCATCCCCTAGTCATTGAACATTGATTGCCAAAATTCAATTGAACAATGTTCATCAATTGAATGAATCAAATTCATTATTGATTGTTTGAATGATTTGCCTAATTTTTTGTTCATTGTGTGTGTGCATTATTTGCATAAAAGTTATTTATTATTTTTTGGTTTCGTTTGATTTGTTTGCCATTTTCATTCCTGTTGATATCGCGTTTTTTTGTTTGAATGAATGACTGGTTAATACATTTTCCACTTAATATAATTAGAGGTGTAAATACTTGATTTGCTCTCTCTTTCTCTCCCTCTGGAGGATGGATGTATGCTATTGGTCAAGAGACAGATTGATTTTCTAAGGGAACGGAATGTATGTACATTTATATATACAATAATCAACTTGTGTCCACATCCGCCAGAGGGATCATTCTTCAAATCCTCCTAACAAATCGAAAAGAACTGACTCAAAGACAGACAGACAAAGAGAGATACAACGTAGAACTTCGTACGTTAGGTACATCAGTTCAGGTTGCCCCATATAACATCAGCACAGAGACGTAACTGTCAGTTCTCAAATCCAAGAGTGATAGCGATAATAAAAGTATTATCAGTAATGGAGAAGATTAGGGGGCGAAGATATGATTCGAGAAGTATAATTCAGTGGGATGAGTTTAGAAAGACAAAGGCGGAGGACTTGACGGATCCAGAAGATTAGGATTTCAGTGAATACAAAGAGTGGATGCACCTGCGCCATTGCAAACGGTTTTAGCCATGTCATTCAAGATCTCTAACCATCGATGACTTTCGTCTCGCGGACCCTAACCAGGTAGCCTAAATCTACCAACATAACCCAGCTCACTTGTCAGTGACTTCATGGATTTCTGCCATGTTTTGGTCTGACCGCCCCTAACTTTCTTCCAACCTACTCCTACACTACAAAACATAGCTCGTCGAGGCAGTCGGTGATTGGGCATACTCAACACATGTCCCAACCACCATGCATTTTCCATTTAATGTGATTAGAGGTGTAAATACTTGATTTGCTCCTTCTATCTATCTCTCTCTCTCTCTCGTACTCAAAATAATTATCGAATAGGATTTTGAGAAAAAAACTGTTTTTTCTGTCTCTAGAATAATAGTCCTATGGATCATGTATGTATTTCATGATTTTTTCAATTAGAGTTATGGAGATTAGTGCTTTTACATATTTGAAATCATCAATCAATCATTGTTAGACTACCATTAGAAACCTGAAAGCACTGAAAGACGGCCGTTTCGTCCTGGTACGGGACTGAGTAATCAGTGGTAGTGCGCATCCGTGATTCCTGCACCTCGTAGGATTCGAACCCGGGACCTTCGGTATTGTGTGCGAACGCCTAACCACTGGACCACTGAGCTGGCTGTCGTCATCTAACGGTGTTAATGTCTAAATCTGATTGATCTAGGGATTTTGCATGACCACACCCATTTGTCTTCGGTAGTTATTGTCTATATTTTTACATTGAATATGATTTTGTGTGAAAAAATTGCATCCAATGCATTTTTTACATAGAGAATATGGCTAATAGTGAAATGTAGATTGCCACATGTCGTCTCATTTTAGGACTAGTCATCTGAATGTATTTGAGAGTTGATGTTTAGTCAGTCTTGTATGTTGTTAGGGTTGGGTATCAGGGTGGATGCCATTTCCCGGCTGCCCACACCATGAAAGAGTGTTTCTTAAGAAACCTGAAAATTAAGTTGGATTTGTGTTGGTCTTAGAGACCTGGGAAATTTTTCATGTGTTTTCTCCATTCTTCGAAAGGCCTCTCCTCCGGAAACAGATATCCGTGAGGTAAGGTGAGGTTTGAAATTTTTAGGGTTGGCCGTTTTTAACCTCTTCCTTCCGTTGTGAGAAAGCAGCGTCGTTACAGACTCTGGTTGTCCGAAGGAAACGCTTTACTGCTATCACACCCCTCTATAGACCTTGAGTTGCTGCTTTTAGTCTCGCCGCTTTCCAATCAACCTATCTGGCATGGTAGGACCTACAGGAACATATGCTCGCGCCAATATAGCTCAGTTGGGTCATCACGATAGACAAGCCCGACCACCATGTCAAAGTAGCAGCTTTGGGTCGGAGTTGATGATATTTACTCCAGGAATTTAAACCAGTACTGTTCACTTCAAATAACATCTCTTTATTTACTTAAATACCGAGTTTGGACAATCACTTACTTTTGCAAACACGTCAGACATTTAATTTCAATTTAGGAAATGGTCTGAATTATCCCATTGTTAGTATTTTGACTGATGTATGATTAGTCTTGATTGGCACATGAGCATTCTTTGCAGATTACCTGAAGAATGATCCCTGTGGCGGATGTGGACATGAGTTGATCGTATTTTTCATTTCATTTTAATGATTATATATATATACATTCCGTTCCCTTAGAAAATCAATCCGTCTCTTAACCAATAATATACATCTATCCTCTAGGTCATTTCTAATGGCCTCCCTATTTGTTCACTTCTGATTGGCTAATCACTACTATACAACACTATATATTATTATGATTCTAATTATTCATAATTTGTAGATAATCAACCATCGTCTGTTATTTGTCAACCGCATCATTGTTTACCATCCTGCTCCTGCTCCTCCTCAACAACGAATCATCCATTTCAATCAACCAATCATCATCATCATCATCAAATAAAAGATGATCAAATGGAATTTGATGAAAACGGGATTGTACGTCATTTGAATAGTGTACAACGTATTAAATTAACTGAAGATTTAACAATTATTGAAACCAATATTAATGTCCTAAATGATTTATTAGCTGAATTAAAACCAGATACAATTACAGAGGATGATTTGAATTTACTTAAAGTAAGTAATTAAAGTAGTATGTAGGATATTTGCAAAGATTTCTCTCTCTCTATATATATATATATATGTATGGGTATTATATGTTCATGGATGGTATTAAAGATACTCGTTTGATGGATGGTATCCAACATTTTGAGTGTGATGCTTGTTCACAGCCCAAAACTGACTTTTATGACAAGAGTGATAGAGGAAATCTAGCTGGCTACTGAATATACTTTCTTTCCGTTTAGAAAATGAGTTCATGTTTTAACCAATGATATGCCTTTGTCTTTTAAACCATTTCTGATTGGCTCTTAATCGTAGCATACACATTCTCTTCAGATAAATTTCAATATACATCTGTTATGAAAAAAACGTAAATATATCATTTTGATTCGCTTGACCTATTACAAGTTTACCTTAGTCGAAAAACGAGAGCGAGGATCGAGGGTGTGGTGACACAGAACATGCTACTCTAATCCGAATGTCCCAACCCCCATTGAGTGAAAAAGGAAGACTTGATATGAAGTAGAACGTGTATTCTACAAACATTCAGAAAGTCCGAGTCCAGAAGGAGATAAGGATCCCGGACTAGGGAACCGGCTCCAGTTCATAAAACGTTACAGATAATGCGTATCTATACATTTAGGTAGGATAGGAAACAAAATTCGACCAATAGAATTAGACTTACAAAATAATTCTCTTAGGATATTGGATGAATATCCTAACAGGTGCTTTCTAGTTATCAAATATTGTCTTCTCTGTCTCTATTTAAACGGACAAGAAATTAGAATATCCATTTGTGTGTAACGTTTTGTTTAAAAATGTTCTTACATTTCATTTCAACAGTCAAAATCTCATTTATCATAATAAAATATAACCAAGTGGCAGCAGAAAAAAGCGACTACTACAAATTTTACCAAAAGTTGACGTGTTTGACATGAAACCTCGACAAGTCTAATAATATTTTTGATGAATGAACCAATGAAATTTAAGATAATTTTAGCGCGAAATTCATTCATTCACATCTATGACCAAAAAACTAACATGTTGACATGATTAAGCTGATTTCATCAAGGTCATGACAATAGAAGAATTAAACCTTAATCTGTCCTTGAAAATGCTAACTGTAATTATATACCTGAATCGATTACATCTCTTTTTTTCTGGCGCTAATGACGAGGTAAATTTTCTCAAGGTCATGTCAAGGACTCCCAAGTGAGCCAATGGTTAACAATGACAGATAACTCATAGCGTTTTATTGAACATTGACTGTGTTGTGAATGCCAACTTCCTTAACTCTGTATGAGTTTGTACAAAGGCGGTAATTTCGTCATCCTATGTTGTGTGTACAAATATGTCAAGCTTACATGGCTTGCTTATTCCAGCCTTTGGACATATTCATTAATCTATTCTACTTGAGTTATTATTCACATGTCCTTCGATCTTGTCATTTATTCGCTCATATCTTGGTGTGTATGTGTGCATGCTGACATCGCTTATCACATGTCTGACTTTGAGTTGGCTCGTTCGCCTTCTCCACTCCACTTCACTTTACCTTCACCTGTACACTTTTAATTCTCATCTCTGTCTGCATGAACGAGATTGCATGAAAAATAAACTCGTACAATTGAATGTGTATTCAGCTTCTTCTTATATATTACTGCCGTCGAACAAAGGAAGATTAATTTCATACTTGAACTGTTCGTCAGATTGAGAGCAACATTGGATTCACAGCAGCTACTGAAACCATATTCACATGAGAAATAGATTGTCATTCTAAAAGAAATTGAATCGTAAACAATGCAATGCAATTCACTTAGAATAAAATAAGTTGAACATTTTCAACTTTTATTCTGTATACTACTTATAAGCTACATAGTAAGTAGTGTACCCACCACAACCATAAATAACTCATATTGTAGTGAAGGAGAACACAGGTGAGGGCAACCGAATTGTATTTAACGAAAATTACAGAGTTACTCAGTATAAAATAGGAAAACTATATCGTAAACCGTTAATTTGCAAATCTTCAATCAATCATCAATCCATTGTCTGACATTTCACCACTGTTCATGCGTTTCATACAAATTCCATTGTGTTCCCACTCTTCTTACTTTCTTGATCTTCCCCCATCTTCTGCTGCCAGAAATTACATTTAGAGTCGCGTCATATACTACTTATTAGTAGCGCGCACCACACTCGTCCCCCCTTTTTTAATAAGCTGTCATCGTAGTCTTTCTGATTACCGTACCGTTGTCATCTTTCGTGCTTTTCGTGACTCATACACTTGATAATCTTGAAACCATCTCTGCAGTTGACCAGCATTTACGCGCTTCTGCTTGTCTTCTCTCCGTAAGCACGTTTATCTGAGGATGATACGGTGTAGTTCGTATCCTCTTGACACCAAACTGCTTTAGACGGGCTTTAGACTCGTCACTTTCAAAACAGGGACCCTGGTCAGTTAATATCACCTTCCGTATTCCGTGACACGCTACAATATGCCGGATTACCACTTCTGTCATTGTTCTTGCCCGCTGGTCTGGAATGGGTACGGCATCTATCCAACGTGTGGAGTTTACTAGTTCCCGCTGCTGGGACACGGCGGCAGGCACACTCTCGATAAATTGCGACGCCAACAACTCGTGAGCTCCACAGCCAGCACCAGTGGGTCACAAGCGACAGACAACCTCGCCAACCGGAACCGCTGCGGCGCCTCCTCCCTGTCCACTGGGCCGTCGAACTCCGTCATCAGCCGCCCGGTGACCGTCTCCCACGCCATCTTCCCGGCGGCACCCTCCAGGCTGTCGTATACCGACCTCGCCTCACCTCCCCGCAGCGTCCAAGCACCACCAACTCCACCCCGGGCCCCTTCACACCCACCAGCCCCACCATGGCCTCAAACTCCTCCAGGAAGCTCAGCAAATCTCCAACCTCAAACTCCTTCGGCCACAGGAGCTCCTTCCTCCGAGCACGGAGCGACACCAAATGTAGTGAAGGAGAACACAGGTGACGAAAACCGAATTGTATTTATCGATAATTACAGAGTTACTCAGTATAAAATAGGAAAACCATATCGTAAACGGTTAATTTGCAAATCTTCAATCCATCATCAATCCATTGTCTGACATTTCACTTATTCATGCGTTTCATACAAATTCCATTGTGTTCCCACTCTTCCTTTCTCGCTGATCTTCCCCCATCTTCTGCTGCCAGACATTACGTTTACACTCGCGTCATATACTACTTATAAGTAGCGCGCACCACATTGTGACACCGATGGGTGATCTCCTCATCAGCTTAGTATGTATGATTGAAATTAAGTGACCTAAAAAAAATGAGGATATTCATATATATATATATATATACATATTTTTTTCTTGCCTTGTAAAGTTCCCCTTTACAAATTAAGGTAAATTGCTTGTTATCCTTAAAAAAAACTGTTCTACATTACCATATGTTCAATATATATATATATATGTGTGTTTGAATATGAAAAATTGTACAGTTCAATGTTTCATATTTGCTCACAGTTTTTATTTTTTCATGTTTCTCCCTTTTATTATTATTGTACTGTGTTTCATTGTTCTATATAGCGTCGAATTCACCTCAATGTGAATACGTAAGTGTGTGTGTGAGTGTGTGTGAGTGAGTGATGTAACACGGTTAAAAGTATGGTAGTTCGAATCTGATTGATATGACCTTAAGTGAACTACTATACTATACAATAAAATAAAGTAAAACAATAGAAACTTGATGAATTAATGAAGAGCAAAAAAATGCTTTCATACTAATCGAATTGTGTGTGTATTTACTACTTATTAGAGGATGATAAGTCAATCAATATTGAGGATGAGATTCAAATATATGTGGGATAATAGAATTATATATATATATATATATATATATATTGACATGTTAGTGAATTTTATTCTGGTTATAGCGGTGTTTTTTTTCGTAGTAAGTTGGTTTTTTGCTACAGGATGGGATCACAAGCTTCATTTCCAAACCGTGCTCCTGATTTATTCGGCAGTATACCCAAGACTACGAGAAAGCATTCGATAGCGTGGATAGGAAAACACTGTGGAGGCTTCTTCGACACTACGGTGTGCCTGAGAAAATAGTTAACATCATACGGAATTCTTATGATGAATTCAACTGCAAAATCGTGCACGGAGCTCAGCTGACAATGACTCGTTTGAGGTGCAAGACCCGTGTGAGGCAAGGTTGCTTACTGTCACCCTTTCTCTTTCTCCCTGGTGTCGACTGGATTATGAGACGTCGACATCTGAAGGAAGGCACGGTATCAACTGGACAGTTAGGACGCAGCTGGACGATCTGGACATCACAGATGACCTGGCTCTTCTATCTCACACGCAACAACAAATGCAAGAGAAGACGGCCAGTGTAGCAGCAGCCTCTGCAGCAGTAGGTCTCAACATACATAAAGGAAAAAGCAAAATTCTCCGATGCAACAAAACATGCACCAACCAAATTACTCTTGATGGAGATGCCTTGGAGGATTGAGATTGAGTTTCATCCGCACCTGCACTAGTGATAGGGAGTGAAGCAGTTGGGCTTGTTGACTGCTGACTTTATCTCGGCAGTCC